AACTAGAAGTTATAGTTTTATAGGTATAGCTAGATGTTATTGTTCTTTCATAGCTGCCTTTCCTTCTATAACCAGAAGTTATAGTTGAAGCAAAATAACTTATTCCATTTTGGACTATGGCGCCAATTATTAAAAGCTTCACTCATAATGGCGGCCACATCAATACTTACAAACAGTACACTTGCTAAGGATGGAGTTACCAAAGAGTGCGGGTTGAAGGAAAGGGTATCTCAAATGGACATGCAGCCCTAGGTCTTCTCAGTTCTAACAAAGGAGTTTTTCTTCAGAGAATTCAGAAAAATCCAGCCACTGTGATCAATCATCATGAAATTCTTGGAAGTCCAAAACATCTGCAGGGTGAGAGGTTGTAGACTACTATTCTAGATACAGAGCAGAGCTGAAGAAAAAGTGGATGCTACCATCATCCACACACTGACAAAAGTGCCCTCTCCCCAGTCATGTTGACTTCTGTTTGCCATTAGTCTTAGCCAACCTGGCTAATGGTGAGGCATGACGGAAGTAGTAGTTCATTAACATTTGGAGCGCTGAGGAGTCCCCATTCATGGTTTAGAGGAACCTCTTTAGAACACCCCCATTTTAGGCTCTACCCTACAGCTAGGGACTCTTCAACCCAGCAAAATTCGATGAACTACTGATCCCATCACGCTTCACCATCAGCCAGGTTCCTTTGGACAGGTGAGAACTTCCAGCCACATTTGGAAGGGCCATATATTCCTCAGTCTTGCTATACTCCAGTTCCCCATGAACACAGCAACAACAACAACAAAAAAGGAGCACTCAAGGAAAGAATCGCTTCTGATTTCCAGATATAACTTACCAAGACAGATTCCAGCAGTCTCCATACTCCTTACCGGTTTGGCTAAGAAGAAGGGAGGAAGATCTTTCTCGGGCTGTGACTTGGGTTTGTGGAAGACACAAGCTCTGGAAGTCTCACTGTTTCTTTGGCTTGTTCAAAGGCTCTGATAAAGCGGCTCTGTTTTTCTTCTTATTGCTTCTTGTGTTGTTAAGTGGGCTATACAGCCCGCCTCAGTCTTCATGCAAGGAAAAGCACTTCCTCCGATTTCATGTCAGAGCACATAAACTGAAAGGTACAGGAGTCTTGCCAGAAAACCTACTTTCTTGAGAATAACTCAACCCAAATCCACTCTTCCATCTACAATTCTGGTGCCTTTAACAATCGATACAAGTGAGAAATTGGACTGACTCAGCTTGTCCTACTAGGATGAAGGGGAAAGCTGTAGATGCTGAAATTCCCTCTTCTACAAAACTTTATAAAGGGATAAGAAGTCCATCGCTCTCCAACAGCAACTCATTCTGAGCCATGCAAAACTCCTATATTGGTATGGGAATAATTACAGAGGTCCCCTGGAGAAAGTAGGAGGAAAATTTCTGGTTCAGGTCACAGGGAAGGAGGTGCTTTCCCCAAGCACTAACAGCTACTTTGCCTATGTTGCCTGCAACCTTTGCATGCATTGCCGCTAGTAGGGCTAGAGAACTGTGACATGCTAAACAAGTACCAAAGCTTGATCTTGGCCCAGGTTGCTCAGCTGGATCTGGACTTGATATACAGCAGCCTACCACAGATGGGTTTAAACTATCATTCCTATCATCCCCAGCCCACTGGTGTATATTAGGAAGAATACTCCAGTAAGAGCCCTGAAGTTTGAAGCCCTGAGGGTGCATCTACATTGTAGAAATAATGCAGTTTGACACCACTTCAACTGCATTGGCTCCATCCTACAGAACCCTGGGATGTGTAGTTTTCTGAGGCATCAGTATTCTTCGGCAGAGAATAAAGGCCTTGGAAAACTACACACCCCTGGATTCCATAGGATGGAGCTACAGCACTTAATATGGTGTCAGTGCATTATTTCTGCAATGTAGATATACCATAAGATATTGGAACATAACTGGAGATGGCCATTTAAGCCAGATATGGGGAATCTTTGATTTTCCAGCTGTTCTTTTACTATAACTTCCAGAAGCCCCAACCAGAAGTAAAGAATTATGGGAGCTATAGCTGAAAACATTTGCAGGGGCAAAGCTAAACTAGCCCTAATGGAGATGTCCATAGTTCTTGCCCTTCAGGTATTGTTGGACTCTACCTCCCATAATCCTCCAATGTTTGTTAGGTTGAGTAACACTGATAGCAAATGCAGGCCAATATGTTGAAAAACACAGTTGCCCACTCTTACCCTAGTTTAAGAATAGCAGTAGTTATCACATACTGTGCCAGAATATATTTCTTTTCTAGCCCAATATGGCATATATCTTCACTTAAAGAATAAAATATGTTCCTGGGCATGTCTTCTTTAATAGAAAATGTGGTACCAGAAGCAGAAATAACTTGGAAAGAAGAGGGAAAGTTTCCTGAAGCACAAAAAAGAAGAGTAATTTAACACGTTTCAGCAAATCTTTAATACGAATCTAACAATATAAGCGGTTGAAATGAAATTGCCAGGTCAGGTAAACAAATACATTTTGGACTTTCTAGAAGATTTTATCTGTATATACAGTAGTTGCTCTTCTACTTTTCTGTTTTTAACTCAATCTGTTTTTAAGGCAAAGCATTTTTATTATTCTGCAGAAGCTGCTGCAGCTCAATCATCATTTCTATTTTGATTTGTGGGCTTTCACATGATGGGTACTTTTTATTAGTTGATAATATGTGCATTGTTTTATCCTGTATTGAGGTTTAGGTATAGAAGTAGAACAATGTATGTTAATCTCAAAAATAAATAATTTTGTTCCATATACACTTTATACACACATCCTGATGTTAATTTTTATATAATATTTGTAATAATTTTGTGCATGAAACAAAGTTTGTGTACTTTCTGAACCATCAGAAAGCAAAGGTGTCACAATCTCAGATATATCTATCATACTGTGAAATACTAAATATTAACATATGCCATTTATTGAATAATATGTACCACCACAAGTCATTTGTCAATATTGTCATTAATTATATATTTTCAGATATTAAAAGCAACTAAAATAAAATGGGTTTAAACTATCACTCCTATCATCCTCAGCCCACTGGTATATATTGTCAAATAAAAACTACAAATACCACAATGCCATTATATGGCAACAGAGTAGATACCATTGTGAATATTAACAATGTTTATACAGGTACCATTTTAAAGATTATATAAATATTAAATACCAACTAAATATTTCAATATTAAATGCTAAATATTAACATATTTACTATTATATGTTACAAAGATTGAATAGCACTGCATGTCAGCTACTGCATAATGTCAAATATTAACAGTCAAATATAATTACTGCAATAAAATAAGCAAACAAAGAAAATATAAGGCCAACATTATGGATTCCAAACACATACATAAGATATTTGGATAATATTTGACATAAGGGCTGAAAACCTAAACAGATTTCATGGGGAACAAGCTCTTTTCAACAGTGAGACTTATCTCACTGTACAAGGTTCCTCTGTGCAAGATTTTGAAGTGTTTATTTTAGGGGTGTCTGTTCATTTCAGCTGAACTCAGGGGAGCTTCTGCAAATAAATTTATCTTCAGGGAAACTCGAGATCGGTGCCTCCCTTTCACCGGATGTGAAAATTATCTGTTTGCTGCATTCCTGGAAGTTCAGTCTGGTGGGAAAAGATCTGAACTGAAGCAGGTCCAGAAACGTTATACATTACCGATGGCTCCTTACCGAAGAAGCTGCTGCCTATCATTTTCTTGGGCCCTTCTTCTCTTTAGTAGTAAAGCTCTGCCTGATTCTCATTTCATCCAACTCTTTCTCTCGTAGATCAATAACCAGTCTCTAACACACAGTGTTAGAAAACATTCAGGGGTAGCTGTGTTGGCCATTTAGCAAATTCAAACAAAAATCCACCAAACAGGGATACCTTTATCGGCCAACCAAAACGCACAAGATACATGTTGCAAGCTTTCGGGGCTCCATGGTCTTCTTCTCCATCAGGCAAGATGTTACAAACCGAACAGGAGAAAAACAATTGGAGATGTTAGTCAGATGCCTACATGTTGTTTCAGTTTTTAGTTAAGATGGTAGTATATGGTGGGGAGGATATCTTTTGCAGGCAGGATCCTCCTTCTTCTGGCATATAGGCCATATGGCTATAGGGAGATTTCCAAGTCCAGGAAATTTAAAATCCATATCAATAGGGACCCCTCTATTGCGATCCAACAGTGTTAGGGCTGAGTTGGCTAAAGGTGCAGTAAAAAGGCAAATGTCCCTTATTCTTGCAGCCACACACATGAAAATATTTGGTAGCATGAGCTTTCATAGACTGGAAGCTAATTCTTCAGATGTATGTCTATCAGAGAGTGTCCATATCTGAGCAGGGATTGCAACTCTGGTATCCTGGGACTCCTAATCCCATCACTCAAACCACTACAGCAATGTACAAATGGGCAGATACTATCCACCACACTGGACTGTTGTGACCCATGGATTTAGG